GGGACCTGGATCCAGAGTATAGGGATGATGGATGCCGTTTGATCTCGAGCTTTCGTGGGACAATGGAGATCACAGACGGTTGCGAGACGATGTTGGATGATTGGAGAAGCTTAGATCCACGACGAGTGTACACTTACAGTGAAGTGGATCCAAGCGACCTGGATCCGGATGAGTGTACCCATAATAGGGTGACCATAATGATTACGCCATGGATCCGGTGGATCTGAAGATAATACAGCTGGGATGATGGGTCAAGGGAAGAAGGGACATGCAGCCGAGCCTGGTAAGGGATTTAACGAGGGAAAGACATAGAAGGTAGAGATCCAGGCAGATATAGGCTTAAGTATCAATACAGACTTCTATTTGCACGATAACACGCAGGTGCCTTCCTGCCCTCAAGAACCGGAGCTACATTGGCCGTACGAGCTCCGTGAAGGTTAGGAATTGCGAACCTAGTGTTAGTAGTGATAACTGGATAATACATTGGCCAGATCCTACAACCTAGTGAGCTTTTCCTATACACGTGCAGATCCAACAGGTTAGCCGAATTACTACTTGGTCGGTTACACCCTAGAAGATCGCAACTCTCAAGATCCCGTCACAGGAGGGGGCAAGTACGACGCAAAGGAAAACACAAATACAAGGGAACACACCCGCAAGGCAGCCCTACGGCCAGATCCACGATCTAGGCCCCGGATCCATAAGCTCGAATATTCGCTTAGGATACGGAACCATCCACGGACGCAGAGTGAAGATTTTCCACTGCTGCTCCACCCCATCCCCACGTCTCGCCAAGACACTCAAGCTTCACCACTTGAGCTCTTCGGAAGTTACCGAGAGAGCAGATCCCGCCCGACCGACGGGTACACAAGGTGAGGAAAGTTCAGCAGAACAGGGAACCCCCTCCGTTAGTCGGTGTCTGGGCGCAGTTGGTAAGTTGGATCCGGCAATCTCGCAGATTTTGCTGATCCCGCTACACCACATTGTCATCTTGAACTGCGACAGTTTGTTCAACGACACCACCTTCGATCTCGTCACTACTGGACTCCATGTTGTCCACTTCACTTCCTCCGTCATTCTCATCGTCATCTGGCACCATGGGACAGGTGTCAAGTGCTTTGAAGTAGTGATCTTCAAATTTCTGGACATGTCGGCAGAAATTTTGCCAATTTCCGTCCGTAACTTTAGCGATCTCCACGTCCACCTTACCGTCCAGCTCTCGAGCATTGTTAGATGGATCTAGGGCTATTCGGTTCTTTTTCAACCTCCAAACCATCTCGATCGGTTGAAGTTCGGGATGGTAAGGGGGGGTGTAGTATAATAAATGGTCGTGTAGTGATGCAAGCCGTTGTGCCTCATAAATCGGGGCAGGTCGGTGTGGCTGAACACGCATCAATAACGGCACAATGGTATCACTCTCTTTGAAGTCGATTGCTGAATGTACATATGTGATTAACAATATTAGTGCTAAAAAAATAACAATAAACTTAGAAAATAACAATAAACTTACTGCGTTCTTTTAACCACGCCTGAATGGCAGCCTTTTTCCACTTTTTGGTTGGAGAGGGGCTGGTTATCCGCTTGTGATATGAGGCCCCGTCCATATGAATGTTGCACGGAACGAATTTATCCTTAAGCGTGATGCAAAGTTTCAAAAACCAAGACTCAAAAATCTGCGAGTCGAATTTGCCGTGGTAGTCGATTGGATCTGCCCCTTTCCGCTTTTTGATGAAGAATCCCAATGTTTAATGGATTCCCCGATAAAATGTCCGTGAATGCCACTTTGGGAACGTGTTTTTGTTTCTTTACGAGCATATTCGTCGCAAGTAATTATACCCGCAGCTACAATTACAATTCTAAAAATCAGTAATAAAATACGAATGTTAGAAAAAAAAAAGCAAATCAAACATTACCTAGCTCCACGCCCGCTTTTGGATTTTCTTACTTTGTCCTCTGTCAGCCACGTTTTGTTGGCAACGTGGTTGACATTGACGTAAGACTCGTCCAGAAACATCTCCGGCCGTACTGGATTCTTGTTTGAGTCTCGGTTTGAAAGTTTTTTTTGTAAATAGGTAGCGCGAAAAGCTACATCATTCTCCTTCTCTGCTAGAAAATTGCGATTTTTGCCTCGGACATGAAAAAAAACCATTTGTTTGGGCAATCGGCGCATACTGCGAGCTGGAATCTAATTTTTCTGCCCATGACTTTTGCCACGTGATTTGAAATCAGTTGAGCTGTAATTGGGCGAGTCGCTTCGTTTTCGGCTATCACAAATTCCCGGATTATCCCCTTCAGCTCTGGTGATGAGTACTTGTTGACGGCCCCACGCTTAGTATTTTGCGGCTTTTACAAAATATAAAATTATATAGGTAAGTGTTATTTAACCGTTAATAATCACAATAATATCAAAGCACGAAAGTTCAACAAACATCGTCGAACTTGGTGCCGGGATTCTTGTTCCAGAACGCCATGACGCGTGCAACAGTGGCGGTTGAGATGCCAAGACACACGGCTACACGATCCCGGGTCTCCACGCCCCCAGAACGTCCTGCTTTTTTCTCAGCGATGAAATATGCATGAGCCTGCACAATTATGCACTCTTCTTGAGGGGTCAGCGGCTTGCCTCGACCCATTCTTTCTCGTAATGACACTCCGTTAGCCGCCCTGAACGTTCTTTAAATAAACATGTACTCCTTCAAATAGAATCTGGAGGACTCCAGGTACATGTCCACACCTTTATCAAGTTGTAATAGGAAATATTTCCGTATCCGTCGGGCCTTAGAAGACTGTAGATTCGTCCATAGATATCCATCGGCCACTGAAGAAACAAGAGTCAGCAAATGCAAAAGGTGACGGGCAACATTGCCACGTGCGAGTTCGACATAGGGTCCTTACTGTGTTAAACTCTCGTGCAAGTATACTTTCCAGCTCCTTTTGCCTTAACCCACGCAGCTTGGAGCGACCACACGTTTTCCTTTGATAACGAAGGAACGTAAACTCGTCCTGCAGTCGCTCCATTTCCAAGCGACTGAAATGCGTTTGCTTGGCTAAAACCGTGAGCTCCGCCTTGCGTAATTGAGGAAGGCGTCGAATTGCAGCTCGCATGTCCTCAACTGACTCGTCCTTGAAACCGTAAAGTGTCTGTGCTTGTTGAAGCAGCGTCTGAGGAGCGATTTCCGTAGCGTTCTGGCACTGGCCCAGTATGATCTTGTAGATGTAACTCGAGTCCCACTGCTCCATTTCCTGTGAGAGGTTTAGGACTGAGTGTTAGGTTTCTTCACCTTTCGGAAAGTATCTCACGTACCATGTGGAGCTGGATCTCGTCCACCGCAAGTCTAAAGAAATGCAGAGCAACCAGTAGATGCAGTATCGTGCCGTCATCTTCCCGAAGCATTGTGTCCCAGACCTCGTATAGTAGCGGTAGAGGCAACTCTCCAACCCAAAGCGAGACGAACCATTTGCAAGACAACAGATGCAATGTCATTTAACCAATGGTTGGCTTTGAACGACCTTGGTACCTTGTACCCAATATCTCGGAGTATGACGTGTCATACTCCTGAAGTGTGAAGTGTCACACTTCATGTAACCAGGGTACACTCGGGGCTACGTGCCCCGTTACATCCTCCCCCACTTATTACGGTCCAATCCGAATGAAGAGATGTTGATCACAAACTCTCATTCTCAAAGTCGAAAACCATCGACTTGGCCGCGCGAGCGCGGCGAAGGCTCACTTCACAGTTAGAGCCCCGAGCAGCAACCTGTGCGCTCTTCGTCTAGGTCTCCACTTCGACCGTTAACATGCCTCGTGGCACTACTAAGAGCGGTGCTAAGACACGCTCCAAGGCTGCAGCCGGTAAGGCGCAGGCCAAGAGCACTAAGCCTCACGGCAAAGGCTCTGCACTCAAGGAGGCTACTCAGGTGGCCTCCGAGGCGATCGGTTCCTCGGGTGACGCGGCTGTGGACAAGCGCGCAAGCAGGCGCCGCAGTCCGCCGCCCTCGTCTTCAGACAACCGTCCGAACCCTCGGTTCGTAGAACGCGAGTTCAACTCGGGCAGTGAAGACGATGCCGAGTCCGAGAGCACTCAGGATGCTCCTGCGGGCTCTGTGGGAGGGCACAGCCCAGTGCCCAGTGAGCACAAAGAAGGCAGCGTGCAGTCGCCCGCTACTGATCACGGTGATCACAGTCCCAGGACCTCTGTGCGCTCTGAGAGTCCGGCCGTTAAGGCTAAGGGCGCTCCCAAAGCCGGTGGCGATGAGGAAGAGAATCCTCGCAAACGTCTCTCGCTTGCCGAGGGTCTTGCGCGCGCTAAGGCCTCTAAAGCCGAAGGCGCCAAGCCCTCAAAGAAGCGTACCGCCTCTAAGTCTCCACTCCGCGAGGAGAAGGAGACTCGACGCTCCTATCAGAGTCTCTTCGGCTCCTCGGATGAAGAGGAGGAGAAGGAGGAAGAAGAGAAGGAGGAGGGTGCTATCGGTGAGCCCGGGAGGTCTCGAATGACCTCGACCAGCAGCAGGAGGAATTCCAAGCTGCCCAGCGTGTGCGTGGGGGTTCATTGGCGGCACCCGTCAGCCAGGGAGCTGCCATCAACTCAAGAGGGTATTGGCCTCCCGAGGAGAGCTCTGGGGCTGAC